TTGGAGGGAAAGAACTTGATTGACTTAGGGTGAAGTGCGATCTCCCAGCTGTCCAATTATGACACGGCTTGTCTTCCTGCCGTGCAGATTCCACTCATTCAGTGTCTGTTCACTACAGACTTGAAATGTTCTAACAAGACAACTTTTTAGGTCCTTTATTTTATTAAACGATACTTTGTAACAAAGAGCTGCAGAAGAAACAATTTTATTTCCTCTACGCGCGTTTTTCCCATCGAGCGGTAGGCATAGAATAGTAATATTAGTGTCCGATGGTCAACTAGGTGCGTTCCTCGCCATTCGTGAGTTCTAGATGATCGGCGACTACTTTGGCCTAACACAAAGTGTCCTATTTGCAATCAAGCGCTCCGTGCCGCGTGGTCATTCAAATTTTTCTGGAATCATTTCGTGGTGTATCGTATCGTTCGCATGCCTCACGCTGGTAAGAATGTTCTGTCAGTGTTTTTGGATAGCTCACAGCTTTTTGATTTTCGCTGGTTCGTTCGCTTCGCAAAAGGAGGCACGGTCATCGAAGACAACCCTCGGTCGGGACGCCCCTACGAAGTGGAAGGCTCAGGTCAAGTCGGGCATGCACTCCGACAAGGCTTTGCGTGCTGCTTCGGACGCGAGAGGAGTGGTGTATAAGCTCTTGTAACAAGACATGGTAACTGCTATCATGTGGGCCACTCAGAACCCGGAGAACCCGGAGAACCTGCGTTAACTGTCCAAGAAGCCCGCGGTGAGTACCCAAGAAGGGAGGCCGTAATCAGCTTGGGCCACCCCCTTGGCTGTGATGACGCGATGCTATGGAGACACGCCAAAATATTTCATAGCAATTCTGGGAGACCACACCGTATTCTCCTGACATAGGCTTTCCGATTATCACCTATTCCCTCCTCTTAAGGCTTTCTTGTCTAGGAACTTCTAACAAGTTTGATGGCATTAGTCAAGAAACCGCTTACTTCTTCGACTCGCAGCCTCCGCTAGTTCTAGGAGAAGAGAATTGTCGACATACTCATTTAGTGGAGCTTTATAGTAGCTAACATCGGCCGTTATATTTTTGATTGATTTCTATTGCATATTGCGTCAAATAAAAAAAAACACAACAGTGACAGGACGTTCTTGCAGTCTGGTAAAGAGTAAAGTCTTGATCGTTAGTGAGTCCATTTGTGAGATGCGGTATGCATGAGGTGCGGTATGCATACTACCTACACTCAGAATCGTAGTGGCTTATTGATGTGACATATATATACAATGACTTGCGCGAGCCAGCCGATGCACAAATCAGTCTTCTTACGGTGGTCTGGTGCCAATCCACCGTTTCCAGAGGGTAGAAGGCTTGGTTGATCTGGGCGAGAGTCGATCCAGGATTCGATCTCCGAGTTTGCGCGTGGTAAGCGTGCCACTTGCCACTACACCATTTCCAGCCTGATGATTTGATAGTAATTCTAATTTATCAGTTTAATTCAAACATGCAGACAAATCGAGATTTAGTACTCTACTCTTCTACTTAACTTCCATGCTCAGTGTTTATGGGGTATCTGATGTTGCACTTATTTTTATTCGTCAAAACATACTTCACTTCGTACAGGTGGCATAAACACTCGAGAGACCTACACTACGATTCAGCTGTTTTTCTGAGAGGAAACCTGGGTGAGGAAGCCGGCCTTCATCATGTGGACTCACAAGATGGGTGGGCATTGCCAACCTTCACCGATGACCAGAGAAGTGCTCAGGGATCACCTGCTACCATTCCTGAATGAGCATTGCCAGAGCCACACAATCCTCAGCTGTACAACGCTGCCATCGACGTTTGAAATTCGAGTATGGATTGGGGTGATGTCTACCATGCTGCTTGTTCCAAATCTGACCGAAGGGGAACCTGTGAGGATCCTAGCCCATTCACTTCATATCCAGTAGCAGCTGTACTGGGTAAGGCACCAGAGTAGAGTGATCTCAAATACTGGAGCAGTTGATCGGAAATAGATCGGAAGTTCAAATTAGCCCATCGATGTGATGGTTCGTCGAAACGGACCCATACCATTGTCTAATGTGTACTATTTACGATTGATAATCATAAATACGCGATTTCTTACATTAGTTGCAGGGGACTCGGAAACACTGCTTGCAATTATCGATCTCAATCTTACAACCTCTGATATACATGAATATCACAGAGTAGAGGGTAACGCAGAAACAAGAGAGCTAGAGAGAGAGAATCTCAAAATAATATGCAACAAAAGTGTAAGAACGAGTTACTGGACAGGGCGCGCCCACACGCAGTATTTTAAATGAATCAGCCAGTTCACACTAAGCCGAAGCCGTTGATGACGAGAAGACAAATTGGTATGTCCGTACTACACTGAATCGAAATTGACCAAGGCGATGAAAAAATTGATAGATGGCGGCCTCACAGTAGCAAAACTCCAGAAATGTAAAAAGTGGAACAAGAGGTATACCTCATTAAGTGCACTTTTCCTTCTGATAAATTGCCTCGAATTCCCACGCAAACGACGCCGTGGAACTTCAGTAGATATAAATAAAATCCGTGAACAACCCCGATAGGAAAATTAAAGTTGCCCGAGCGCAAATCACCACACCCCGCGCAGCCCAACCGACGCATACTCGATAACCCAACATCCGGGGTATATACCATAGTTCATTACTTAGTTGCAGACAACTACATATACACTGAATTTCGGAAAAAATCAGTGTGGGAGTTTCTGATGCATCACCTTTGCTAACAACCTTCCAAAACCGAACTAAGCGCCTACAGATCACTCTACACCAGTCGGTCACGCCGCTGCCGCCGGGTCTCCTACTTCTTTTCACGGGCCCGCAACGCCGGGCCGACCTGGCTCTTGCGCCAGGCAGTCTCCCTTGTGAGTAGAATCGATACATGCCAAAATCGTGCGCAGTTCTTTCTATAAAATTGAAAAGAATCAACATAGCTCAACCCTCATCAGTATCTACATCAAAATCGATCCCTGCTGTTTACCACAGACTTAGGACTGCAGTTGCGACAACCGAATGGGTAAAACTGAATAAGTTCGGATGAGTCCTCAACACACGGAATAGGCATAGTTGCCGAGTCATGGGTGACACTGAGAAAGAGAACTTCATTGCTTGTGAATGTCAAAGTTTTGTCGCACGGAGAGCTCGAATGTTACCACCGAGAGACGTCCCACTCCCGATTGTTGGGTTTTCTCCTTATTTTGCTTCAATTGCGACCGCCACCTCCTAACACATCACATAGCAGGCAGATTTGCGAAAATTTTTTTGATTGATGAATTTGAATTTCTCGATTTTCCCGTTTCAGCCGCACTATATACCCCCCCCCCCGTCGGCACCATTGCATACATCGAAAAAAAGAGTTCACCCACTGAGCCTCTAATACTCGGCATTATAGCGGTAAGAAGTGATAAAAATGTAGCGCAGATGGTATCTTATCTGTTTTTATCGATTGATAAGATTACCTGTCACCCGTCATCAATGTCCTCATCACTAAATCTCTATGATTTGGTAGCGTGAACCACCTTGAACAGCGACGACGACTGCAACGTCCCTTATCAGCCCCTATCAGTAGTTATCGTTTCCAGTCACCCACCGTTGATGTCCCCATGGCCCTCTACATCACCCGCTGGGCCCAATGTTCTCGCTGATGCTGTGACCTGCGCTGTGAATACGATGACCTCACCTTTCTAACGCCCCTTATCGAATCTTATCAGCAGCTTACAGTTCTTGTCACCCACCAATAATGTTCTTGGCCCATACCCTATATCATATCTTGGAATCAAGAGCTAGCTGATGCTGTCACCCGCGTTATGAATATGGTGACCATTCCTTCCTAACGCCCCTTATCGAATCTTATCAACTGATATGTCTTCCTTCCACCACAATAATAGAAGCTAGCTGATACTGTCGCCGGCGTTATGAATATGGTGACCATTCCTTCCTAACGCCCTTTATCCAATCTTAACAACTGATATTCCACCCACAATAATCAGAAGCTAGCTGATGCTGTCAGCCGCGTTATGAATATGGTGACCTCCCCCTTCTAACGCCTCTTATCGATCTTATCAACTGATATCACTTCCTGTCACCCACCAATAGTGTTCCCGTCACACCCCTACATCACTTCTTGGAAACCAATGTCTCACTGCTACTGGGACCGGCGCTATGAATTTCGTGACAAACAGACGGACGGACGGACGGACGGACGGACGGACGGACACACACATACACAGACATTCTTCTTTCTTCTTCACATCCTGCTGCATTGAAACGCGCAGGCATGAGGAACATGTTCACTACAGCAACCAGGATGCGTACAGGCGATGAAGAGCAACTAGAATCAACGTTTAACTTCGAAAACTGCTAAAGAGAATGGTTGCAGGGTACGAGTACATCAAAGAATATTTAATGCTAGCCCACGACCACCCGGGACAAGCTTCCCTTTTGTCTTCGTTTTATTTCCGATGACATTAACGTTGAAATACGCCGCGGTATTGTAAGAGCACATCACAGGAAGTGTCTTGGTGAGTGTACTTGACAACAACATCAAACGCCAACTTGTGCGCAACAGACTGTACGACAGACAGTGCTTGACACCAGACTGCGTTATCTGCCCATATGGAAGGTTAGGAGATTGCGAAAATCTGGAGTAGTTTGCCGGAGTGAATTTAGGACGTGTAATAACACGTACGTCGGTGAAACGGGGAGGGAGCTACGCGCATTGAGAAACACCTAACTGGGAAAAGGCGTGGTTATGACCACTGCCTCGGCAGGCATAAGATGGGGGAGCATTTCGGGAACGACTGATTTTATGCACTATATTGGCGTTCTGGGTTACTGTTAGAAAACAAGGGTAAACAGCCAGAAAGGTGTCCGTCAATTACAAATGAATTCCTGCCGTTTGTATCAGAGTGCGAGCTACAGTAAGGGTGACGTGCGCTACGACAATTTTGACTTATACGACACGATGAGACCCGAGTGAGACTCATTCGTCTTTCCTAATCTTATTACCACTCAGAGTGAGCTTGGCTCCACACGGTGGAACCTTCGATGAGTTGTTTGCAGTTATGACCGGGTTGTTCAGAAGCGTTCAGGACATGGCGTCGGAGAAAGCTAGAGTGGGGAAGGCGTTTGCTCGGATAGGTTATAAATCAAAAGCGTCGAGATTTTCAGGCTTCTGAAGAAGACGAGAAGGTCGAAACGTTAGACCAGGGAAAGAAATCCATCTAACATCTTCGTTGGACAAAAATATCTGAACCTTCGACATCACATGCCGATGTTACAAAAGGGACAATGTGGAGATTTCTCTTCCTAGAGTCTTTTTAGTTAGCGTGTCAAAACCATACAGTTTTTGGGTCAAATTTCCGCCCTTCTCGAAACTGTGAGTAGGTCGCAGTGTTTTGTTGGGGTGCACATTATTTTTACATTTCTGTATAATTCTTTTTAGGGTACATCTATCGACTGAAAGAATACGAACGCCGGTTTGCTCCGAAGTACATATACTGGATAGTCTTCTTTATTCTTATAGCTCCTACAACTCTGGGTTCATTCCTTGCCTACTCGAAAAGCAAGACCAAATATGAGGAGCTTGCTAGGAAAAAAATCTAGTATAGAGGGTCTTGGTTTTTTTTGGTTGTTTTCTTTTCCAGGAAATGTTTGATGTTGTAAGTGGGACCAATGTTCCCGCTTCCTCGCCTACCAGAGCGGGTTGCTGACGTTTGAATTTTCTGTAATGTCAGACATATTGCTGTTAATTCATTTTCTGGAATGAAAGTTGTTGCGTTTCCAAATATCACATTATCTTTGCGTAATTTAATACAAACCGGCTACGAACTGTTCTGCAACGAAGGAAAAGTGTGTTTTTGAATGGCCGTACAGCAGTAACTGTATATCCAGCGAGAGACTGCAATAATCGAATAACGTATGCTCCGAAGTATGGTGCGTTGCTTTCCGTTGCGAGTGCGGTCAAATAGGCGTTGTAAACGGAGTGACGTACCCCGCTCTAGAACCCAACACACTCTGCGTGGCGGTCTCGCAGCACATCGACCTCCTGACTCTCTACGTCCGCGTCTCTCACGTCGATTAGCTTTCTCTGTGCCTGTCTAATCAACTAGCTGCGAAGTACTCTGCTGGTCTGCGCGATGCCGCGTCTGGGAGATAACGTTCCGCACCTTGAAACTGGTGCCAGCTGCAGTGACCTGACGGTGTCCATTTCCGCGCAATGACTTCAGTCAACAGAAAGGACTTGTCGATGAGTCTGGAACCCGAATGCGCAAGCAATTCGACATTTCAGTTGCGTACTTACGGAATCGCAATGTTGCGTCGTGTGCGCTTCAGCTAAGCATGTTGGAAAGGTATGGTCTCAGTTATTTTTAGGGGGAGATCGTGCTAGGAGTTATCAGTAACAAATGTTCTTGAGTTCTTAACAGTTCCAGCAGAACAAGAAGTAGCAGGAGATAAGTGTGTAGCAGCATGGTCTAGGAGAATGAATCAAAATTCTGGTCAACACTTAGCAGCGATTTGTGAAAGAAGCAGTTGTTGTCCAAGTGCGACTCGCCATGAATCTTGGCATCTTCCTCCATGTAAACAAGCGAAATGGTTCAAGTTGACACCAAGATTCCTAATGAGTGTTATTCGACTATCATTTAGGGGTGTCAGCCCCCTCGAGCCTGGAAAGTCGAAAGATATTTTATGAGCCATTTGTCAAAACACTATTTCAGCCTGCCTAGAAAGAGTCACTTTGAGATTTCAAAGCGGTCGTAAATTACTTGGATGACGTCGCGAAAACAGGGTATCCGTTGAAGACTCCCGAGCGGGGGGGGGGGGGGAGTCGTTGGAGTCGTGCAAAAGAGGAGGGGAGCGGATCGCGTTTGAAGAGTTCTGTAGTTAACTATGCTGTGACAACGCGAATGCGGATCGGGGTTGAAAACAGAGTTAATGAAGTGGTAGTGCGGGTGGCACAATTTAGTGAGAATACTTGTTGTACTATATACTTTTCAGATCAAACTGAGATTGTTTCAGGAGTTTAATGAACTTGAGA